TATATATAATTTAGTTATCTATTTGATAAATGTTTTAAATTTTAAAATTTATAACTCTGTAATCAATTTTATGATATCTATAGATACATATTTTTAGAAGGATTTTGATAAAGCAGACTTGTTAATTTCTCTCTGCCACATCCATCTTAAATTAGTACGGTTTTTATGAATTTATAAAATATTCCGTTTTGATTAACTTTTACAGAGGGTTGTATGTCGTTTGGGTGAGAACAGTTTTCTGTTTGATCAACAATTTCGACAAGATTTTATTACATATAAGATTTTGACAAAAGATAAGAAGATTGATATTATTTATATCCCTAACATATCACTTGATACAAACGGTAGTTCAGATCGGTGTATACTACTTGCGTCCGAATTAATTATCAGTAGGTAACTTGCGTTCCGCAAAAAAAGGTTCAAAAAAGGTCATAGCCTATTTACGTCCCGGTATACCTTTTTAGGCAGCCTAGTTGTGTCCCGACATAAATAAAGCATAAGCATAGCACTCATCAAGTATTACAAAGTATTATTATATATTTATAATTTATTTATTGCATATGATTCCACTACATTTGATTAAATTACATTAAAAATATATTAACATCACGTTAAAAAATAAAACTATACAAAACATTTTGTAGATTATGTAAAAAAAACATGTTCAAATAATTATTATGCATAGTTTAAAAAATATTTTATTATAAAATCGTCAATTGTCAATTAAAACTAAAACTAAGAGTAAACAAAAAACCGTTTATAAACCCATAGATACAATTTACACATACCTCATAATATAAACAATATTATTGTAACGCTGGACGCATAATATTTATGGACGCAACTTGGTCATGACTTAAATGACAGGTAAGAAGAATAATATGGTTGAGTGCGTCCGCAAAACGGGACGCAAGTTACTTACTTAATTTACTACCTGTAACATTTGCCCTTTTGCGGGACGCAAGTAGTATGCAGCCGTTCAGATATTCCTTTTATTTTGAAAAGATTACAATTCCCATGTGTGACCCTATAGTATTAAACTGACGTTATTACGTGAATAATAAATTTAATTAAGTTGAATAAACACATGTATCAATTTTATATAAATTATAATACATTAATTATAAATTATCACTATGATGTTGCACTTACGTTATTATATTTTTTTAATTTTATGACAGTTTTAAGTTTGTATATTTTAGAAAAAAATAACTGAAATGAGTTTATCACCACAAAAATAATAGATTCTAAGTAGATACGTAGTATAATATTTCATATATATTTACATGCGTACAGAGCCTGATTTGCTAAATATATGGCCAGGACAAAATAAAAAATAAATTTTTATTTCAACAAAATGATATATTACATTACATTAAATACATAGTTAGTGATATTCACCGATGGGCCCCTTGACCACGTGGGCCCAGGACAAATGTCTATTTTGTCCGTGCGTAAATATGGCCATGCATGCGTACCACAAACCTAATATTATGTCATAAATCATAGTCATTCATTCATTTAAATGAATTACTCGTATTTTTCGATTGAATGTTTACGGTTTAAATTTATGACAAATTATTATAAGTAAAACATAATTTGTTTTGTATTATTGCAATTATATTTTGTAAATATAATTTTAGTTTAATTTAATATTTTAAAGTGCAAAAAGAAATTTTTATTCTTGTTTTAATGCTAAGTATTTAATTTAAACATTTTTAATTATTTTTAGTGGTGCAGTCATAGATCGGTTTAAAAAATATATTATCCAATAACTAATGCCTACTATATTTATACTAAATAAACTATATTTATCGCCTCTTTAAAAATATTTGTATTTTTCACTTCATAATTTGTTATTTTTTTAGTTCTATGTATGAGTATTATACAACAATTTGATTCAATATATGTTTATTAAAATAGAAGTCTACCAACCAGTATACTTTAGGGAAAATTGTTTTGATTATTTAACAAGATTATTCAATCATGTTATTGCTTGATATTTTGTGCTAATTCAATTTAAACTTCACCGAGTGTAACTACTGTTCATACAAAGCACTTCCGTCTATTAAAAAAAATATAAGCGTGGGAAAGCATTTAAAAAAGTGAATCCATCTTGTTCATTTATACAGTTATTTTTACAAGATAACGATTTTTTTTTTTTTTTTAATTTGGTTTGAAAAGTTTTTAAATCGTATTCATACCGTCACAGAAAATGTTATTGAAGCTTGTATCGAAAGTTTTGGATAAAAAAATTTCGATTTTGATTAATATTGATGTGTAGTTTACTAGAACACGTATAACCATCAGTATAAATTTAATATTATTTAAAAGAAATACAAGATGAATAATCGTATATTATATAGCCTACAGTTTGTGTATAAATTTTCTTTAGGATTTTCCGAAATTTCAATATATTAGTTATATTAATAATATATTTAAAGTCGATGAGCCGATATATATAAACATTATACATACACACACACCACACACACACTATATGATATCTATAACCTATTCATTATTATTACTTTTTTACGGCTGGAGCGAAATAAACGATATTACTTCACCTGAAGTTTTGGAATATTGTCAATTCAGACATCTGAAGATACTTAAGTCTTTATTTTTATACAAAAAAAGAAAAACATTTCCTTCCTATTGCCGTAAATTCATCGATTTTTATTAGACAACAAATGTTTACTTGTGAGCAGGGCTTGAATTTGAAAAAAAAAATTTTATTTTTCGTTATTTACAATTAAAACGTTATATAAATTTTGAGTTTATCGTTATTCAGAAATAAAACGTTATTCAACCTTTGCGTTTATCGTTATCCAGAATTAAAATTTTTAATGTATTTTATAAATTATAACTATTAAATAATTGGAAATTAATTATTTCATTTAATGATGTACTATAATTAACGTTTTGCGTTATTTTTTGTTTTGTGTTATTTAATTATTTATGTTTATCGTTTTCCGTTATAATTACGTTACAAATCTCAATCGTTTTTTGTCAAATATAACGTTATTATAACGTTTGCAAGCCTTGCTCGTGAGACATTGTATAAACGTTCCAATTTTAACGTGGACGCATTGGTATATATAAATATATATAATATATATATTTTAGTTGTATTTGTTTATGGATAGCCGCTGAGAGATCTGAACGTTAACTCTTGGACAACGGCGAAAAGATGAAATTTTAATGAAAAATACATACTATTGTATTTATAATTAAATAATATAATACTTACTCGCGGGAGGAATGTGCTTGTAGAGACAAAATTAGTACGTACACATTTTATAACATTTCAAGACTCCCTACCGGATACATACCGCCGAATACATCAGCATATACATAATATATACATTATACACCCGTAGTACGCTCAAACGCACATCTAATTTATAACTTACCTAAATGGCTAAATTCCTAACGAACGTTATTCCGAGTAAAATTTAAAGTTAACAAACTCGAAAAGGTAATTTATGAAAAGTCATCGCAACGAGATTGTTAACAATAAGAAAACAAATAATAACATGAGAAGGCGTTAAGTTAAAACTCATAAATTATACAAGATAATCTATTTAAGTGTTTAAATATTAATTATTTCTAAGAACTAAATTTTCTTGTAATTACTTTTTTACATGATTTGATATCATTCCAAAACAATATCTTTATCGTTATTATTTTTTAACGGTTTTATTTATTCGAATGATAACATTTATTTTTAATTTTATATTACAAGTTATATGTCTTAAGAAATTAGAACTAAATTTAGATAAATTCAGAGGTACTCTTCGAAATGTTGATTCACTATTCATTTAAACTCTAAATACATAATATGTTATACCTATAATTAAATACTCGTTTGAAATTCAATTTTTATGTGTCAAAGTTATTCAAATAAAATTAAAAATGTGTGATGTATTGTTCAAAAAGTAATAAAACCTAAAAAATTAGAACGATGAAAAATTATAATTTTTTTTTTTAAGACATTAAATGATATAGGTAATAATACCTAATATTTTCGAAAAAAATTAAAAAATTTTGAAATATTGAGTAATGCAGTATACATTTAAATGTATGTAGTGATTACTAATTAGTAATCACTAATAACCACGTACTTTGCACACATGCATCCTTTGTTGTATTCTGATGCACGTTAGATTAGGTATACACTTGGGCAAGACTCCGTTCGCCCAAAAATGACCTCTCTCTTTTCGTTTAAAAATATTATAGCACTTTTTAACCACATTCATCAATACATTACTTTGATAAACATTTAAATACCTACTTTAAATTATTTATTTATAAATTACAACTTTAATATTATATTTTGTATTTATTTTTTTTTTTTTTGAATTTATAAATTTATAATATTTACTTATTACATTATTGTAATAAACTAATAAATGACAAATACTTAATAATGTATAAAATATACACAATACATTTTTGGAGAATAATAAAAGCCGCTTCCTTTCTAGGTAATTCTAAATGGCTTTTATGTGGGCTCATTGTTCAGCTAATTGTCTTATTGCAAACATTTTCAACTGACTAACAAAATTTAAGCCGGGATTCATCGTGATTCCATCATCCCGAAGGTTTTTAATAAAAATCATCATTTCTTCGTTTGTTTTTGGTGGTGTTTATATATATGATATAATATGTGATTTAGTATTTTGTTATGTAAATCAAATACTGCTTTTTTTTATTAACTTTATGCTATATTATGTGAGTTTTGATTAATACAAAACATATACATGTATAGAAAACAGGTAATATTAATATTCTCATTGAAATTGAGTTTTTATTTATTTTCTTAATTCTATACTCTTAGCGTTAGCCGTGTAGTTTTCGCTCGTACTGTAATTGCAAGAAACCGAATAGACTAGATTCGTAATCCATTGCATTATTTTATATGTGGTAAGCATTGACAATCCGTTGATTTTATTATTAATAGTACACAACATGGGCATCGCCCATTTGCGCCAAAAAATAGGTGATCGTTTTAAGTATAGCCCATTTGCGCCTAATTTACCTGTATATATTACACGATAAAATATTACAGTTGCTAAGTAAGTTTAAAATGCGTGTCATGTAAGTACGAACTAAAAATCTAAAAACTTTAAGTGCAATTTTCTGCGATTTTTATCGCAGAGAGTTTTCGAAAGAAAGATATTAAGGAAAATTTTCGGTCCAAAGAGAAATAACGATGGAGACTATGAGGTGAGAAGCAACAGGGAATTGGATGATCTATACAAGGAACCTACAATTGTTGGGTCCCTGAAAAGTACGAGGATAAGTTGGGCAGGACATGTATGGAGGTCAGAGGGAATGATTGGATCAATAACTAAATGGAAATCCGACACTAAGAGACCTCGAGGACGCCCCAGACAAAGATACCCATGGTATCTTACCATGGGTGGATAGAGTAAAGGAAGACTTGAAACTCCTGAACGTAAGAAACGCAGAAGAATTTGCAAATTATAGAGAAGAATGGAAACAATATGTTGTTGCGGCGATGGGCCTTAAAGGCCTGTAAAAGCCCAGAAAGAAGAAAGAAGAAGAAAGAATATATACAGGTAAATTTGGCGCAAATAGGCGATCGGAAAAAAGTACCTTTTTTTTTGGCGCAAATCGGTAATTCCCCACAACATTACCAAAGGTCTTCGACGGTCAGGTAAACAGCTCGCTTGTAACCGTCTTTCTTTCCGAATGTCTTAGCCTGACCATTAGTTTTGGGTAGGTAGTACCTATTGGGAGGTGGTGCGCGACTTTCAATGTTCTCGGGACGTTTGTGTTGTATGGTTGAGTGTACCGTTTGTCCGTACTTGTAAGTTCCGGTCGAAGGTAACGAGTAGGTATTCGGTGCCGGTACAGCCTCAGATACCACTTTGAAACGTCTAAATTATAAAATTTATGTCGTATTAACTGCCGATCACAAATTATTAATATTAACATAAAACAAAATATTATGAGATACCCAGATACCCAGATATTACAGATATAATAATATACTTCGACTAAGCTATTTATCACATTTTATATTCAAATTAACAAGACTTAAAATATATTGAATGCTATAAGAAATTCTAGGGAAATAAAACAAAAAAATCGAGTTGTCAAGTTTTTCGAGATATATGGAGGTTCGAGTTATCGCGACTTGACTAAATTTATATTCTAATTTCTCTAGGTGCTATACAAACTTACGGTGAAGTAATTTTGACGTATGTCGGTTTTTTCGACCGCCGATATACGTCTAACAATGGCAACGTATATGTGTTCGGACTTGGGTAACAATCATCAATACGACCAAATTGCAATGTGCGACTTTTGAACGATGGTTTCGGCGCTTTAGGTCGTACCGAGTCCATTTTCGGGTAATACGTATTCGGCGCAGGTAAATGTTCTTCGATATTAAAACAAAATACAAAGAGTATGTATTTATATATAATATATTCTTTGATTCATCAAAATTTTTAGTACATTTATTGTACAGCTTGTAATGTGTGGGATGTGTAGGTTTATCACACGGCTATTACTTTTATATAAATGTTATACATATACATAATTTTATAAATTGTTATTATAAATAATTTTTCTAAATGTTAAAACAAAAAAAAGTTATTGTTAAAAAAAATTTTATGTCGATAATATAAAAATGTGTAATTTTTATTTGTTTTTGTAAGTTATTCTTAAAGTTATAGACGGTTAATTGCTTACATCAATATCAACAATATCCTATCTTTCTTATTATTATTAACATACAAAAATTATTAAATAATTTAAGTACAAAATTATTTGAAATTCTATGAATATTCATGGATTTATAATTATCCTAATTTGATAGAATCCCGCATTTAAAATTTTAAAATACTCTTCAACGAAAAGGTATAAAATGTATACTATAAATTACAAACCCTACAAACTTTTTGAATCCTATTTGAAAAAATAAAAATCAATAAGTTCAAATTTGCAATATCTTAGATGACGAACTAATAATCACTATAATAAAGTTTCCCGATTCACAAATGTAGATATACAATATACTAAATATACAATCTCTTATCTTATGTATAATATACGAGTATGTAGCAGAATTATATATATTAATATATTAATTGTAAATATATATGGCAAATTATTTTTATATGCCGATGACAAGATCCTAATCATATCCGAAACTAACAGTGAAAAGACTTCTCAATTCACTGAGTCTTATATGTTTATTATCAACGAATGACCTTTTAAATACTAAGGCTAATTATTAACAAAAATAAACTCCTAACCTTTACATGGAACAAAAGAACTAACTGTTAACTCAATAAAATTTAAACAATTAATAACAAATTATCTTGAAAATAACCTAAGTAGATATACTGTAGTACTATTGATGGTATCTAATTAAGTATTATTGTATGTTAGCTTCTTAAAATAAATTTAATGTTTACGAATTTATTTAACATAAATTTACAATATCATTATTATTGGTAATAATTTATTAATATTATTATAATTATTATTAATTATACCTTGGGGCAACGGTCTTCTGCTGCCTAACCCGAAGTTGGGTCGGTAGAGTCTTCCAAAACGACTCTGATCTCTGATGTTGTACAACAATCCGTGACCATGACCAGGGCTATTGGCGCGTTTTCGTCCAATTGTTACTGATGGAAAACGGCATTTAGTCAGAGTGTGTTTGACAAATCCTATAGTCGCAGGTATGGTATAAGCATTGGGCGCCGGTCCTGCGGTATGAAAATTGTTCCATCATAAATATAATTAATAATAATAATAATATGATTTATAACTAAATTTAAAATATATTTTATAATATTTTATAAACTATATTTTATTTCAGTATATATTTATTTATTGATTTATTATCATTACAAGTGATTTGTAGACTAAATATTTACAACGATTTTATTTATACATATTAAGAGTTCATAACAAACCACAAACTTGAGTTAGTGCGTTATAATTTTATCAATAAACAGTGAAGCAATAACTAAGTATAGGTACATTAGGTGCCTGCTTTGTAGACATTTCAAATTTATTCCAATTTGTCAGACATAAAAAATGTAACGTAGCTTAAAATGTTTAACTCTTCCTACTTGGCTGTAGTAGTTTACACTCTTGCATATAAGGCACTATAAAAATCCTATACATGGGCATATACCATTATTTATGGTCAAAAAAATTATATTTTGTCATATAGTTATATAATATTTATTGTCTATTGGTCTTCCGTTTCAATTTCCACTGTAAAAATAAGTTTCGAAAAGTTCTATTTAATTTATAATGTAAAAATAGGATATAACTTGAAATACGACAACAATGGTTCTGAAAATTTCATCATGTAACTAATATTATTAGAAGGATTCAAGGATATATACTAAAATAATACATCTACTTAATGATATTACCTCCTTCCATGATTGATAGTATGTATAATTTATATTTATTTAGGTATCTGAAATTCTGAAATGTTACGATAACACTATACTAAATTGATCTGATTTAATATTGTATTTTTATTTACTTATTATATTACTATGTAATTTATAAAATATCCATATCTATGGTAACGTTAGTAACTATATGTACTAACTACCTACTGAACTATATCTTGTAGGCTAGCCGTAGTAATAAGATGTATATATAAACCTAGTTAAATTCTAATAAACATACAATAATGACATATAGGTAATATTATATTTAATATTTATCAATTTATCTGTATAAAAATAATAATAATGTATGATACACAGTAACGTAACTTATTTGGATGCTTTATTTTAAATCTATACAACTGTTTGTATGCAAGGGCACCCGCAGGTGAAAATTCAGTGGGAATTCACTGGGAAAATTCAATGGGACAGCCTTAATTTTTATTAATAATTAAACAATTTTATTAATGTATAATTGTATTAGGTGTATTTAAAGAAAAATGTTTGAAGATAATAGAATTTAATGTAATATTTATACTTTAATAAATAATTGAACACAAATTGCAATTTTATTTTATTTTTCCCAAATTCATCTACAACTTTTCTAGCTAAATTAAGTTCTTTGATTTTTTCTATATAAGCTTAACATACATAATCCGGATAAACGGTTCTCACATATTGTTGTATGTAACTAGGTTTTAACACGACGTAATGTGCTAAATGTCTTTTCCATACTACAAGTTGTTGATGGAATATTCTTATAAATAATGATACTTCTCTTCAAAGTTAGATACATTTCACAATACTTAAAAAAAAGAAATATTTTCTGTTTTTAATAATTGAAGAAGACTTTCATAAATTCCCATTAATCATACCATGTTTGAGCATCTTCTACTAAATTTTTATTTTATACCTAATACTTGTCTAATTCTTGTAAAATCTTAATAAAATTTATTTTTGTAATTTTTAACTGATGGGTGTAAAATTCCTAATTTAAAGGGTATTTCATTTATTGGAGTAAAACGAATTTCCAAGGACTGAATTAAATAGTCAATACTCAATATAAGGTTTATACATAAAAATACGCAAGTGCTCATGAGGAGTAGACGTAACAATATTTTGGCGATGAGATTGTTTCGACACTACTCGTGGAATATGTTTGCAAATAATTGATTTGCATAATTCTTTATATCACCAAATATTAAACTAAAATTTTCTTCTTACATAGATCTAATTATTATTATATAATTGAGCAATTATTAAAAAGATAAAATCTATCAAAAATCATTTATACATTTAACACATAATAAAGCTAAAAAACATTATATTTCCAGTTCCACCCAATAGATAGGTATACCTACAACTCTATAACAACCAAAACAATTGTTCTATCAATACAATTACCGTGACTGTTAAATATAACAAGAAGTATTATCTAACGCAACTAAATATGTATTCTGAAAGTCATTATTTTTTATTCATACTTGCTTCATTTACAATTTAGGCATATAGCGTAATAAAATTATTTTTATAATGTCAATCAAAGATAAATTTCTAAAAAAAAAAACTTTTAATACAAAAGTATTTTTGTTATTTTATTTACATGACATCTTACACATATAAATGGGTTTTTAAGAGTTTTAAAAAACACTTAATAATAAACACCTTATAGGCAACTATATTATTAATATATTTTTTAATCGAAAATTTTGTATGGTTTTAATTAAGATATGAGACTATTCAGTTTATATAGGTACCTACATATAAATTATAAAATTAACTATTAACGCTAAGAACTGATTAGTTGTAAAGAAATAAATCCATAATATTATATATATATATATAGTTAATCATTCAAATTACCCCATTAATCATTGTGTACATTAATTTATTTTATTAATATTTAAAAAAAGGTTGGACATTTAATTGAGGTGTTACCATATAGGTAGTATTGTAATGTAAAATGTAGCACCCGCATTAAGCTGATTTTCTGAGGGTGCCCCTGACCCAAATAATAATATAGGTAACGCAAGCTTCCTGCATAATATATATATAATATATATTTTACTGTAACCACTGATCATCATGTAGCACATTTGAAGTTATAATTCTACTTGTATATTTTGTCATTGTATAAATTATTAAAATTTATAACAATGTTGCGAATTTTGTTGCCCGTTTTTTAGTACCAGCTATTTGTTATACGGCACACAATAATATTAATATTCGTGTTAAGAAACTATTTTGGTAGATGGATTTTTTGTTATAATATTGTACAGACTGTTACTATTAATACTATTATTATGTTATAAACACAGTACTGCAGCTGCCAGCTGGTGAAGGTCGTCGCATTTAAGTAAGCATGTCTTTTACTCAAACGATTAAACAAATATAACTATGTATATTATATTATACAATATACATACATCTCCTCAAAGAGACGTTGAATGAATTCATTATTGAAACATTTAAGCATACAAAAATACAAAATATTACTGCAATGCGCAAGTATATAATAATATTATTATTAATACATCCGTCTGCGGTCTACAACTGAATGAAAATGGGGACAGAGGTCAATGCATTTAAGCACTTGTACTCGAGAACATGACATTGTGTTGAAAGACTGAATGATCATCGCTGAATGGATTTAAAACATTTTCATAGATTATGAATACTTGTACACCTTTAAAGAATGAGATTTAGTTTAATAGTGTGATATACACACACGATGGTTCTAAAATTTTTATTACCTATTACTTTCTTACTCCGTCGCCCTTAAAAATTCATCGGTTAGTCACAGACCATAGTAATAGGGTGAGGAGGTTTTTAAGAGGACATGGCCTCTGAATTTTTTCAGTGGATGGATGATGGGTAGTTTGGGTAGTTGGTGGCTCATGACATATAAGGATGAAATAATTTGTAAGACTGTAACATATCAATTCAGTTGTACCTATATGTATAGTCTACAATAATAATCAAACTATTTTTTTCAGTATTAATTATATAAATCATAAAATTTTCTACAAATGTATAATGTACTATATAGTATATAAACTATATTTACTATTATAAACATAAATCTTTATTATACTTATTATAGATAGATATTTTCATAAAGTTAAACTAAATCAAAGTGATCGAAAGGTTTAATAATAGGTATAAATTTCTTATTTATAATAATATTTTGAATAATATGATAGAATATTATACATGTCTATATTATGTATTTTTATACGAGCTATAATTATTGTTTATTCTATTATTTTTCTATCAACAGAAAACCATAGTGTCAGTACATGTTCGCGAATATGCAAGCATGTTTAAAAACTAACAAGTAACAACAATAATGATATTATAATCCTACCTATCCTATAAAATTGTATTACTTTAAGGAAATTAATTGTTTATTTACTATGTTACATATTGAAGCATTAAAACGAATAAAGCTACTTCAAAAATACTTTATTTTATTACGATATATATTTTTATTTCTTCAATACAGCCTACTGGCACTGTTTTCTACGTTGTACACATTTTATATTTATTCAAAGTTCAAACTAGATAGTTCTATCTGAAACCGTAATTTATACATATTTTATAAAATAACATAATTGTTTTGTTTCGATTTTTGAACCATTCATTACGTCTTAGTGTATGATCTCATGAGTCATGACATCAAGTTGTTAATTTTGTAATTACCCGTTAAGCCTTAGGCATATAAGTATAATAGATATAAAAATATATTGTAACTATACAGCTGTTAGATTTTTGAAATTTTCACTTATTATATTTTCTTACGTTTAGACTGTTTAGAGATACATTATAAATCATAATATTGACTGGTTCAAGTTAAAATTAAGATAATCCTGAGTATCTGTATGCTCTGTTATTTATGCTGCATAAATTATGCGGGCAGCACACGGCATGTTTATGCCGTTTATGGTAGGTACGTTGAAAACAGATTAAAATAATATAAAAAAGGTAAGCAAACGAGTAGATACTATTCTGCTGTAATGAGGTGTCGAGTATTGTTAAGGATGTACGATGTACCTATATTAAATTTGAATTCAATGACAAATCAACATTACACAGTACACTTGTCACTTACACGCGAAAATCTATATAGAAAAGACTATCTATCGTCTTATAATATCATTAAATATTTAAATACATTTCTATTATAATCTATTAAAGTAATTTAATTTACTATTCGTTATACAATATACCTAGGTTGAATATATTTTTGTTGAAAACTTTTAGAATTTGAAAATGTCATTGTATATTTG